CTGTCAGGCACCAGAACTAATTTAGTCCATGGATAAGTGGTTAATGCACTGACACACAGTGTGTGTGCTAGCACATATTTGCAGCTTGTTTCTTTTCTTGAGAATAAACAGTGTCCAGGCCTACTTAAGTTCAGATTTTAGGGCTGTCACTCAATCCCTTTCCATCTGGTGACCGTTATCTAAAATTATCACAAAAGAATTTTTACTCTTGACCTTAAAAGGTTGATTTTATTTCGGGGACAAGAATGGTGACTCATATGTTAACGTCCATCCATTGCAGACAAGGAAGACCAGAGGGTTCCAGGGAAGCAGCCTAAGCCACCAGGCCCAGGTCCAGGATCCCCCCCATTTCCAGCCCAGATACAGACCACTGGATCTGAGCTCACTTTCCCATTTCATAGATGGCAAAACAAAGTCCTGTGATTCATCCAAAGTCTTGCAGGGGTTAGTGGTGGAGAACCAAGCAAAACTGAGGTCCCTGGATTTTGTTTGGTGACAAAGTCTCATGAAGTCACACAGGCTGGGCTCAAACTTGTAATCCTCCTGCTGCAGCTTCCAGAGTGTTAAGATTGCAGGTGCGCACCACCCCACCTGGCTACTGGGGCACGTCTCATCATTGCCTGGTGGTATTTTTAGCATAAAGCCAGACATCCAGCCCTGGTCTGAATAAATCTTCATCGAGAGCGGTACACTGTTATCAATTAGAAAGCTATACTGAGCCACTTTTAGAACTTCAATGAGTGAATACATTTTTAAAGGTACCTTTTGGGCTGATGGCCTGAGATACAGCATAGTTAAGCGGGAACACCATTAAGGTGAGGAGCTGCTGTGTAGCACCATGGGCAGTCACCGTGGATGGAAGTGTCGCTGTCCCATTTCACTGCCCATTTCACAATGTGACTGGCAAAGAAGGAGCCAGCTGTCTCGGTCCCACCAGAGGTGGGAGTGGCAGCTGTACACCAAGCCAGCCCCTTGCTCTGCCTTGCCACAGTAGGTCAGGTAGGCACATGTTTGGCCTGTGTGTATACTCACCCACACTCCAGAGCACTGATGCAGCTAGGTATCTGAGACACATACCTGACAACCAAAGTTAAAGGTGCAAAGGGTTATTTGGCCCACAGTTTGCAGCCATTGCAGGCCATTGTCAGCTGGCTCCAAGGCAGGGTGGCATGTGGCAGAGGGGCATCACAGAGAAGCACAGTCCATGGCAGGCAGAAGATGGCAAAAGCAGCCCAGGGAAGTAGCAAACCAGCAAGGGAACCAGAATCGCCTCTCTCTGTCCCTTTTATGCTGTATCTAGGCGCTCGGCTGCGGGCCGTGCCAAGCCAACCAGTGGACTCATTTAGTAACCACATACCCTTAGTCCCAGCATCACACACTCTAGATCCAGCCACCTCGGAAAAGCCCTATTTATGACTGAATAAAGCTTTGGGGGGGGATATCTAGATACAAACAATAACAGCCAAAGTGTTCTTTTATGATGTATAGTTGTTTTTAAAGCATAAATTACATACAGGAAGCATTCAGATCTTCATTGTGCTACTTAATGTTGTTTATGAACTAAACACACTACATAACCAGAACTCAAACCAAGGAACAGAATGAACCCAGTCCCCAGGAGTCCCACTGGGCACCCATCCCATCCCTGGGCCTCCATAGTCACCACTGCACTAGTTTCATTACCCTGTTTTGGGGCTCTCTTCAGGGGTCACATAAAACACACTTTCTCTCACTCAAAATTCTATGCAGGAGACCCAGCCACGCTGTCCCTGTAGTTGTGGCTCCTTCCGTCTCCTGCTGATGCGCATGCTGCTCCAGCACACGGAGACGCATGGTGTGGAGCAGCAGAACTGCTGCTTCCAGCTTGGTGCTGTTCTAGTACTGTAGGAAGGGCAGGCAGCTACAGGCTGGAAAGTGGCCAGAGCTGGAGAGAGAGGCTGGGCACTGCGTCACCATCTTCCAGGAGCCGAGGAAGCAGGTGACCCTCTTACCTTATCCCCTTGAAGCCACCTTCTACTGTTGCCTCGTGTTTGTGGGAGGTGCTGTGCTGCTCCAGATGAGGCTTTGGGGCTGTGCGGCTCTGGAAAAGCCTCTCCCTCTTCCTGAGCCTCAGTTTCTTTTCCTCCAAAGCCAGGATAAGATAGTCAAGCCAAACTCATGGCTGTTTTGAGATCTCAGTGAGATAACGCTAACACAGCCATGGGGACAGAACAGATGGCTCAGTAAATGTAGCTTAATGTGTAAGACAAGTTCCAGTTTCTGACTGCTTTGGTTCCATTCCTGGCTTTGCTGCTTACCAGCTGTGTGGCCTTGGGCAGGCCCTCACTCTCCTTTGGCTTCATCCTCTTGGGAATAATGGGGGTAGTTCCTACCCTGGGGCACTGCTTATGTAAGAGCTTGATATACACATCCATATAAGTTAGTACAAATAAAGTCTCTAGTCATATAATACGCCTTCAGTACAGAGTAGCCACAATTATATTTCAATCCTCGTTGCCTGGTAAGTAGCACATTGTTCATTAAGTAAGTCCTGGTTGGTTTTCTTTCTTCCCCAACATCCAGCAGCACGGGCAGAGAGCACTGGTTTGATAGGAACTAAAAGGAGATCATAGGAACTTAGGATGGTCAGGCAAGGTGGCAAGGAACTGAAGACAGCGTGATGCCGGGCCAGGGATGGCAGGGGACTTCTAGGGACCAGACTGGCAGGGGGAGCTGCAGAACCAGGGCCAGGCCAGGTAAGAGACAGGAAGGAAAGGTGTTGCTGGAGGAGAGATGGAGTTGAAGGAAAGAAGTGAAAGTGTTTAACACCACTAACCTGTTCTTTGGGTGTCCCCTGGAGGGACAGAGAGCTAGATATGGACCTGAGTGTGGCTTCTAACACTTGCACCAAGACCCACTTTACTTTTGACCCCGCACCCCACACATATACTTTCAGCAGTCCTAGAGACTGAACCCAGGATCCACACACTGAGCTCTATCCTTGTCTCTTCATATACTTTTTATTTTGAGGCAGCATCTCACTAAGTCTCTGAGTCACCCGTGCTGGGCCGTCACTTGTGATCCTCCTGCCTTGGCCTCCCAGAGTGCTGGGATGACAGGCATGTGCAGCGCACCGGGCTAGTTCTTCGTAGGAACTCAGCAGCTCTAGTAACTGAAGGTTTCTGAAGACCATGCGCTCTCGACCACACCCCTGTGCTGTTACTCCTGCCACAACTCTCGCTGCTATTCCCCCTCTATGGCTTAGTTGTCTCTTAAAATGCTTTGGAAATACCACTTGTACTGTCACCTTAAGAGTGTTAAGATACGTGTTCCTGCCTGCTTGTGGAAACCAGACCTCTGTAAGCCACACAAGACAACAGGCTATGCTTATCACTGTCTTTATCCCCATCTGACACCAGCTGGCCAGCCCACTGCTACCCCACACGCCTCCCAGCCTGTCCAGTTTTCTGCCTCTTCCTCTTTGCCTGTTCTCTCTGCCTGCTGCACTCTGCCTGTGTTCATTCCTATTCATCCTACAGAACCTCACCTTTTTTTTTTTTATTTTTTGCAGAACTGGGAATTGAACTCAAGCCCTTGCACTTGCCAGGCAAGTGCTTGTTCTACTGAGCCATCTCTCCAGCCCCAAGCCAGAACCCCACCTTTGATGTCCTCCATTTGAAACTTTCCAAAAGCTCCTCTAATCACAAACTATCTTTCCTTGTGCCTTTTGGAATTGTTGCGTGGGTTAGACTCTGTTAAAATTATTCACCTGTGTTAAATCCCAGAACATGAACCCTTGCTTATTTCCAGTGCTGATGCTGACTTTGGCTTGCTTAGCTGTGAATCCCCAGGGCCAATCAGAGAACCTGGAAGAGAATGGGTGTTTGCAGTAAATCTAGTTAGATGTGGTATAACTGGCCCTGTGTCCAGAAATTCCATTGCTTATGAATTTTTTCAGAACTGGGTGTTGGAGGAAAATGTGTTCCTTTACTGAAGATCAAAAGAAGCTATGCCGCCAGGCATGGGGGCCTGTGCCTGTAATTCCAGCACTTGTGGGAGGCCGAAGCAGGAGGAGACTCACAAGTGTGCACCCAGCCTGGGCAAGTCCTCAGTAAAAGGCTGGAGGGCTGCAGGATGCATTTGAGATCCTGGGTTCAGTCCCTATTACTGGGAGTAGAGGGTAGCAGCTATTGGGGGATTTAGTGGGGTTGAAGGTGTTTCAAAAGCTTAATCTGTTTTCTGCTTGTTTGTTTTAGTTTTAGGTAAGGTCTTGGTCTGTTGACCAGGCTGGTCTGAAACTCCCGAGTTCAAGATATCCTTCTACTTCAGCCTGCCCAGTAGCTGGGACTATAAGAACTCAGCAGTCTACCCTGCCTTTTTTTTTTTTTTTTTAATGTATTTGGTACAGAATCTCACAACACAGATTGGACTCATAGTGATCCTCCTGTTTCAGCCTCCCCAGCACTGGGATTACAGGCAAGCACTACCATGTCCAGTCTCAGAGGCTGGCTCAGCACACCCATGGGCGGGGCCCGCATGGCATGTGGTACTAGGGATGGAACCCTGGTCCCTGCGCTTGCCTAAGCAGGTGCTTAGTCTGCTGAGCTATCTCGCCGGTCCTTTACCCTGCATTTTAGAGGAATCTCCCCTGCAGGTCCACATGAGCTCCCTGACTTTCAAACATTTTTTACTATGACCTTCAGTGACAAGTACTTTTTATACTAGGACACACTAATTTTGTACCTCCACCAAAAAGGAAGCTTTCTGTGTCCCTAAATCATCTCTTTGTCACTCCCTTTCTCCTTGTCCCTTGCTCTCCCTCCTTCTCCCTCCTCTTCCCTCTCTGTCCCCGCACCTCTCTCAATATTGCCTGTGAGTCACCATCCCCTATTCCGTGGAAACACAGTACCCATAGACCCCATACTCTGCCGGCTGCAGGCAGGCAGTGTGCGGGAGGCAGGGGAAGCAGGAGAGCTGCACAGGTGCCAGGTGCCGGACTGACCACTTCCGTCTCTTTGCAGCCGAGCCCCTGCCGCTCATGGACCTGTGCAGGAGATCCATCCGCGCTGCCCTGGGCCGCCAGCGCCTGCAGGACATCAGCTCTCTGCCCTTGCCTCAGTCTCTCAAAAACTATCTGCAGTACCAGTGAGCTGGATGGTGAAGGACAGTGGACACCCACAGGCCCGGGCTGTCCATGACACGTGATCTCACAGCCCACTGGGGAAGGGGTCTCCCCCAGCTCCCAGGACAGAAGACCAACTAGAGAAAGCCAACCATCCCAAGGCCAGTGCCCCTTTGGAAGCCACAGGGCCCTGGCACCTGCCCAGCAGTGGCACCTGCCCAATGGTGGCATCTGCCACAGCTTTGTATTGCTCAGAGAAGCTGCTTTCTTATTCAAGAGAATGAATAAAACATCGGGACAGGAAACTCGGTGGTGTGGCCATGGCAGACAGGGCCAGGGAGACTTGGCTTGCTTGGGAAGAAAACTGCCTCTGAATAATGGATGATGAAAGCAGATCATTGCCCATCTCCTACCCATGGTGAGGGCAGCAAGATTATGATGCCTTCTTAGGACTTTGTGCCACTTTGAGAAGCTATTCCCCAGGGATGCCCAACCAAATTGGCAACTGGAGAATTGGCGAGTGGAGAAAGCAATGTTTAGACACCTCCAGCTTACCTCTGAACATGGCTTCCTCCACCCTCCTTCCTGGCCCCAGAGGGAGTCCTCCCCCACCAGGCCCCTCTCTATTCAGGGGGAGAAGTCTAACTGATTTGCCCCAGGGACAGAGTTTATCATTAATTATTATGTTTTTAAAGTAGCATTTGCATTTTAAAAGAGTGTGGGAGGGCAGTCCTTAGTCCAAAGGTGCTAATGGAGGTCCAGGGTGGAGGCGTTGGGACCTGCAAACTGAAGCTGCAGAGGCTGTCGGCCCCACCTGGAGTGTGGGGACCTCTGAGCAGCTGTCCTCCCAGGTGCAGCCTGGTTGTCACAAAGCTGTATAGGAGAGAATTATTTTTTCACTTAGGAGCCTTCCCCATGTTTGCTTCCTGTTGGAACGCGTATGTGTGATGTGCTGTTTATTTATCACCATGGGGCCCATCCGTGGCCTTGTAACTGGAAGGGTGGAGGTGGTGACACCTTCTCCACCCCCAAGCCTGGTCCTCTCACCACACTATGCTGCTTGTACTGCTGCTGCCACCACCACCATTGGCATTTGTTGTGTGTTTTGGATGCGCTCCACCCAGACTCCCTGGTAACTGGAAATCGTCACAGCAGTGGGATACCAGAGCCCCAGATGGCACTGCCTTTCCCCACTTTAATGTGAATTGGACCGATGAATGAGGAGCGTTTCTAATAAAGTTTGTCATTCAGTCCTTCCATTGTCTATGAAGTGCTCTTTGGGCAGGGGTTGGGGGAGGGTCTTCCATCAGCCTGCCTGGTCGGCCACGGACTCGTAGGGGCCAGCGAATGAAGGCTTCTCCATGCCTCTCTGCTCTTCCTGCTGTGCCCCTACTACAGCTCTCAAGCCCGGGCTGCCCTGCAAGATGAGATGTGACTGAGACCATACAAAACTGGCCATGATGGTAGACAACTACTGGAACTCTTGATGCCAGGGCCCAGATGCCCAAAGGGTAGGTGGCTCTGCAAGGAGATTGGGAATAAGAAGGATAGAATCAATCAAGTTGCCAGTTTCCAAGGAGACCCTGGAGGTGGGGCTAGATGTAGTCATGGTGAAAATGTGTTATTACTGAGGAGTGGTATAAAGTACTGGGGACAGAGGGAGGCAGGCTGGGCTCACAGCTAGTACAGCTGAGGAGGCGGAGTCAGGCTGGAGTTAGCTCAGATCAGCCATCAACACACACTGCCACATCTTCCACGACCAAGTGCTCAGGCTGATGTACCCCACACCTGGGAGAGACATGCACACGGTAGCCTAAGAAAGTAGGAAGTTACTCCCCAAGGGGTGGGGGAGGATGGGGAAGGGAAGACTTCCTGGAGAAAAAGCCACCTTTAGGCCTACTATTTGAAGGGAAGACACTCTTCCTGGGGATGAACCAAAGAACCAGACTTGGGGGGCCTGCCTGGACTCAGCCTTGCCAGCATCCAACTTGGTCAAAGGAGGTGGCTTCCGGTGAGACATGGACTGCCTTTGGGACCCAGAGGCTTGGGTTTGAGCCTCCACTTTGTCATCCTTTCTACACAACAATCTTAGGTATGCCACTTCTTCCTCTGCACACATGGGTCGGCCCAGGTAGACAGACAGAGACTGGGGAACTTCCTCTCCTGACTCAGGGTCCATCGCAGCGCCACTTCCCCTATAGATACACCTCCATCTAGTCTCAGGCATCCAGTGTCCTCTTATCTTCGTTTCACCTCTCTGGGAGCTTGTTAGGTGAACCCTCTTCCAGGAAGCCCTCCTGGATCACCCACTTGCTCTGAACAGTTAGCACCTAAGCACCCAAAAAACTGTCTGGAATCTTTGGACTGAACCCTCTCTGCCATCTGACTTCACCTGCCCAGAAGGTTGTCAGCCTCTGGAACACAGGGCCTGGACTGCCCCTTCCACTCAGGCTGGCTGCACCAGCCAAGCACAGCTCAGTGCACCTGTGCAGGTAAGTCTTAAACACCTCTAGGGTTTGTTCTACATCAGTATCCCTGCGTAGGGGCTAAGCACACATACACACACACACGCACGCACGCACGCACGCACACACGCACCATTCCCTGGCAGACTTCCTGGAAGCCCCTAATCAACCATTGGCTCAATGCCTGCGGTAACCCAGCACCTCCCACACAAGGCACCATGGCTGAGGTCTGGCCCTCTTCTCCATGGCCCACTTCTGGCAGGGGCTAATTTTTAATTGCATGAACAGCACGTATGGTCAAGGGCACGGTATTGCGCAGACTGATCCCTGCCAAGTACCTTGGTTCACTGCACCTCTCTAATGTTTCTACTTCCTGGATATAAGCCATCCGCTTCCCCTTGCTTTTCTCCTCCATTAGCTGCACAAGCAGCTGGCTCCTTTATCTTTCACTAAGAAATATAGATTTCAGCCCCTCACAATGATACAATAAAAGTGGCAGCAGGTAGCAGGAACCCCGTCATGATGACTGATTTGTGCTGGGGCAGCTGTTCCTGCTCCCTGGAACCTCACTTCCAGCCACTACCTCTGAATAGGCAAGGGACACAGGGCATGCCTCTTCAGGGCCCTGACAAAGAATACAAATTCCCAGTTTTACCTCAAATAGGAGTTCTGGGAAACTGGTCTCTTGCCAGCCTGCAGATGGGTTTTGTTGTCCTACCTCGTGTGTGTGCATGTTTTAATAAAATTGAGCCCAACAGAGAAAAATCAAGTAATTTAACACTGAGTCCAGATTTCAGATTTTTCTCTCAAAACAGGGAGACATGGTGGAGCCAGGGCCACATTCCTTCATGGTGATGTTGGCCAATGCTGAGTTGTGATGAGTCTCAAGAGAGGACCTCCGTTCTGTGGTCCACCCTCTCACAGCACATCAGGACCTCTCACTGCTGACCTCCCTTCTGGGCATCAATATCCACAATGCACATCGGGAATAATAAATACACACACACATACACACCACACACACACACACACAAACAACACACACACACACACACAAAGTGGCCAATGGAAGGCCCCAGAGGGGACAGCCGGCTAGTTGAGACAGTGTAGATGTCTCTGGGTAAACTATAAATTCCTAAAGTCCAAGAATTCTTAAGCCTTCTTTTTTAAAGAGCCAGGCCATGTTATTAGGAATCCTGGCTATATACACATTTAGTCCTTTAAGGCAATTTGTTTGGGGCTGACCACAGACCAATTAAATCACAACCTGTGGGTGGGGAGGACCGAGGCAGTGTTGGAGCTCTGCTTGTGGTTCATTTTGTTCTTGGTGGTGATGATGGAACCAGGGATTGAATTCAGGCCCTTGCGCTTGCAGGGAAGCGCTTATTCCACTGAGCCATCTCCCCGCCCCCCTGTGGTTCTAACATGCAGTGAGGGCCAAGAACCTCTGGAGGAGGTGCCCATGTGGTCATCTCAGTGGCGAAGTGGTTGGTGTTAAAAGGAATACATATTCATCCCCAGAGAATGCCACCTCAGCCCACCAGTATTTCTAGAAGATGGAGGACACTGGGTGGAGGGCATCAGCAACACACTCAAGTGCAACGCCAGCAAGTCCTCCCCAGCCATTCCTTCTTCTCAGTGATGCTGAGCTGGTTGTTCAGAGTCTGGGGGAGGGGAGGAGTCTGGGAAGGACAGGCAGCTTTAGCCTTGATGCTGTACAGTTCTTAAATTGATTCCAGCTTTGCCCGTTTCCCTGACCTGCAAGGCCCATCATATGTGGGCAGTCTCTCAGAGGGCACTGGCATGAACACTTAAAATAACTTTAGAATAATAGGTAAAAAGAAGTCTGAAAACTGCTTGGCCTTAAGTGTACTGCTTTGAATAGAAGCATTTGAGGTAATGAAACCTGCCTATAAGATGGGTTTCACTAATATAGACTGCTAGACAGTGTTAGATTGTTTAATTGAATTCAAACACCTATGGTATTTAGATGCCAAGAGAATATTCACCCTGACAGACAATTAAAAAAAAAAAAGCATACAAAGGAAAGATCATTTTGTATTTATATATACAAAATAGTTAGGATAAATTTACAGCTACTTTCGCGTAGTTCAATGAGAAGAAAGAGGTGAACTAACAGTGTTTGGACAGAATATCCTGTCTGCTTCTCGTACTATGGATAACCACTAAGAAGATAACAACGTACAATGTATTGATTATCAAAAATGTCCTATTAATCAACTGTGAAACTGTCCCATTCATATTTATTTCTCAATAAAAAAAGAAAAAGAAAAAAATTTTATAGATGGGTTTGATTGCTAGTGCTTCCAAGCCTTGCTCCCTTAAGCAAAATAATGAATTTGGCCAATAATACTATACTCCCTCCGCTATGGATGTGAGGACTACAATTAGGCATTCATAAGTCAACTCTGATGTGGTAGCAGTGTCCCTGCCTGCTTTATCTGTCCAACAAGCACGTTTTTTCCTGTAAGGAAACCTAGTGTGGATGGGGTGCCCAGCCCTGTCCACCCATGTAGGAGGATTAGAGTATGCAGGACAGAAGCTACTGTCCCAATGCCTGGGAACTTTCTATTCCAAGGGAGACACCATGCTGACTTGAGACACAGGGATGGCATTTGAAGAGAAGAGTGACCTTTTAGTGAGCACTTGGAGCCATAACGAATGGCTCTACCAGATTGCAAGCCTTGCTTCCTGAGAGTAGCCACACACCTCCACAGGGAGAGTGACAGGCACACAATTGAATATGATGTCTTCTATATGATGACAGTGCAGATGACAAGGCCAGAGGAGATAAAGCTGTGCAGAAGCCAACACTGGTGGTGTGACGGGCTTGGAGTATGGTGGAGTGTTGAGGGGCATCTCAGTTACTCCATTGTGGGACACACACAACTTGGAGGAGAGATTTATTTTAACTCCTGTTTTTATTTTTTTTAATTTAATTTATTTATTTGTGTGTGTGTGTGTGTGTGTGTGTGTGTGTGTGTGTGTGTGTGGCCAGCTCAGCCCACCAGGGGGCGGGACTGGCTGGCATGTGGTGCTGGGGGATTGAACCGCGGTCCCTGTGCTTTGCTTAGCTTGTTCTAAGTAGGTGCTTTAGACCACTGAGCCATCTCACCAGTCCCTAACTCCTGTTTTTAATCCATGACCAGCTGGCTCCAGTGCAGAAATGATGGAAGGAAAGCTGCGTGAAAGACAGCGGCTCATCTTGTGGCAGCCACCAAGCATGAGGAGACAAGGAGGGGCCTGCCAGATCATACCCCCATGACCTGCTTATTCCAATCTGGTCTCACCTCTTAGGAGCACATTTAACTCTGAGCTCACCTATGAATTAATTCACTGCTGAGTATAGCATCCCCATGATCCAACCACCTTTCACAGACATGAGAATTTAGGAGAACATTTTCAATCTAAATCATAACATCCTCCCCCTGGCTTTCAAAGATGCAGGTTCATCTCACTTCACCAAAAGTGCTAACAATTCCAGCATTGCTGAAAAGTCCAAGGCCAAAGTCTCCTCTGAGACACAAAGCAAATAGCTATGGGCCTCTGTAGAATGCAAAGAGGTTACATTCTTCCACTATTCCATAGTACAGGATAAATATTCCCATCCAAAAATGAGAAATGGGGAGATAGAAAGAATATGACCAAAGCCAGACCAAAACTCAGCAGGATCAAATGAAATTCTGTAGCTCCATGTTCATTTGTCAGTACTCTAGACA